TGGTTATTAAGAGTACAATATGAAAAATTGCAGCGATTCCGAGTTCCCAGAACTTTTTCGACTATGTTAAACGCTAATATAGCTTACTTTCCGAGATACCGAGATTTAAAGTTGTAAGCTTTTAACATTGGTTATACTCTAATGACTGCACATTTCATACATCTGAAGACAACTAGTATATGCAATTATTGCACTCATTATATAAACAATCACTACCTGGTATACTTGTGATGGTTTCCATGTAAAAGTTCTCAATTTTAAAATCTGTTCTCTCAAGAACTAAGCTTTATTGATTTTAACAAGCCAACATATTTTTCCATATTTGCAGATAATCGATTAAAAAAATTGCAGATAATCGCTTAAATTAAACTCCCTAAAAAGGGCTGCCTTATTTTCTTCTGAGTACTTCCAATACTTTTTTAATTCAATAAAATGTTTTCAATCAAACAGTTTTTTGCTTTAGAAGATTCCAGTGGCTATAAAAAAAAACTTGTACCGTAACCGGTACAACTGATGGAAATATCTGATCTGATGAGATACTTGCTTTGTCTGAAGAAGTTCCAGACTTTCCTTTTCGTCTGATATGGAGTGGTGAATTCAAATGTTATTAAAAGTGATGTAAAAATGATTAAAATCTATTGAAAGTTATTTCAAATGATCCAAGCAAATAAGATTAAGAAATGCTCATTAGTATGTGAAACATCATTACATCTAATTGTCTAATGGTTTGGACTTCTTAGCACTTTCCTTCGAGGCTGTACGACCCGACCATATTGATAAGAAGCATTTATTTCTTTCATAATGAATATTGAATATTAAAATTTAGCCATAATTTTAAATTGAATTTAAAAAAAATAAATGCTTACATTTTTGCTTAGTTGCTCAAATAAAATCTGGCCACAAAAACATTTTTCAATTTACATTGTTTTGCAATTAAACCTTGATTCACTCAGATATTTTTTCACTGATCTCGTTAAATTTGAATTAAGTCTCATTACATTTATTCGAATATCAATAAATAGTTTGTATCGAAGTTTGGCAAACTCCAAGTTAATTTATTTACCTATTCTTAGCGGTTAGATTTTTTAAATATTGGCATTGTCAACATTTACTCAGATATGTTTACTGTGATGATCTGAAATTATGGTTTCATATAGCATCCAATGTTTATACGATTATCTGGCTAAAGGTTCGTATTTGAAGCAAAATTAAATAGATATTTTATCAATTTCCTAAATGAATTTCTAATTGATTGTGACTCCAGATATCACTTAATACTCTTAAACATGTATTAGTGTATCCGGTACGATTTTTCGAACAAGCATCAGCCTTAGTGTTAATGCTTGTAATTTCTATATATTATTATAAACACAATCAAGTTGTTTATATTGGGTATTTCTATGGACAACCACTTAAATTTGTCAAAACTTGTTTGGTCTCTAACATAATCCATTAAGTTTGCCATATATTTTAGTGCAAGATCAGGTTAAACCCTGCGTTTTGATTATAATTACGATTCTAGTGTTAGGATTCAATTGGAACAATAATTCTGTTGCATTTGTCACAATGCAAATTCTAACAAATATCACTAATTATACTAAATTTTTAATCCCTCACATGAGTTTCTCTTAAAGCCGGGATTCATTCTTTATATATCACACAAAGGAGCAGTTTGTGTTCTTAATGAATTACAAGCTGTAAACAGTTTAACCATAGCCGATAAAACTGATGGAAACGTCTTATCTGATGTTATAATCATCATCTGCAGTAGTCTACAGTAGTCCAGCTAGTTTGTTTAATAAACTTCAAGTAATAAAGAAATGAATAATTATTTTGCTTACAGAGATATATTTAAATTACTTTACATTATTATAAACAATGTTGGGATTGTCTGTTTTATTACTGGTGTGTGGCGTTGGATCCTGCTTTTATACATTATCACAAACACACAAGCAAAGAACTGTTTATTATGTGTAATCAGTTGATACCCATTAGAACACACTTGTTACATCAGCAAAAAAAATTTTAATATACAATACAATTTACAATATTATTACAATATATAATTATAATATATTTCCGGAAACTCTAAGGTGTCATTTAACTCCACCTTGACATTCATAATATTTTAATGATATTTGGAATAATTTCTGGGTATTTTTAGAGTTTTGCGGAAATGCTCATTAAAATTCGACATCCGAAAATGTGAAAATGTTCTAGAGAGTTATATTTGAACTCAGCAACCCACTGACAATCACTAGATTTCTATGGGGCCGGTTCATGTTAGTATTTCTCAAGTCATTGTTTGAATTGCGAACTATTCTTCCCATCAAAAAACAGTAGCGGGTGTGTTCATGATCTCGAGTAAAGACTTCGGGAATCGTGTTACGTACGTGGTAATGTTATGAAGTTCCAATAAAATATATATACTGCGTTTCTGTTCTTTTTCAAATATTTGAATAAATGTCATTCAAACACCTGTAACTCAAGAAGTATGAAAAAGAGGTCGGAATGGCCTCAAGTTTTGTTGTTTTAATAAAAAAAAGTTGAATGAATGTAATGTAATGAATGAAACAATGAAACTTATGAGGAGAATCCACTTAACTCTACTGTTATTCGCTTCAGATATTAGTGTTAATATCCGCGGTATAGTGTCGACTTTGTCACGTTCACTGCTGGGGTATTGGAGTATTGGAGTATTGGGGTATGATGCATTTGTTTGTTAAATGGATTTGTGTGTTTGTTTGTTAACTTTTAGTTTCATTATAAAATGTTTTGTCGGTATTTGTGAAAATAGCAATAGAAGCTTTAAAAATAAACAAATCGAACAATAAAAGTGAAGTGTTTAAAGTCTTCAGCTAGAATTGAAATCAAAAATTAGACACAAATCATTCGAAAGCGATTATTTGAAGTAACGCTTAAGACGACGGTGAACCGAGCGCGCGTGCGTTTAATATCTTCTGAATATATGTAACATATTATGTTATTTATTAGTAACAGCAATTATTAGAAATAAAAATAATTTTTATTTATTTAATGAATAATAATATTAATGATAATAATTTTTTATCTCTTTCTTTGCAGAAATTCCAATTGCAACTTTTGTTTCGTGCTTCTTCGTTATGATTTTTTAGTGTAAATTAAAATAAACTTCATACTATAATCAAACAAAAACAAAAAAAAAAAACAAAAAAATTAGTTTAATTAAACGTATTATTACAACAATTAATTTATAAATCACACCAACAAAAAGTGAAATAATATCAAATAAAAAATATTTTAATTTTTATTTAATGAAAAATTAAATTTATTTTGGATTAACTCGATTAGATGCTCATTTTGATCGATTAGTCAAAACCACTCAATTTAAACTAAAATTAAAACTAAAATTAAAACTAAAATTAAAATTAAAATTAAAAGTAATTTCGCGCGATTACAGCACTCACTACTCATTCTCATTTGTATCTTTAGAATTTGTGCGATACTTTTTATTAAAGAAATAATTTAGAAAATTAAATTAATTAGATATTATTTATTAAAAATAAAAAAAAATAATGAAATTTAAGTGAAAGATGAGAAAAATTAAAAAGAAAATTAAATAGAAAACCCGTGTGTGTATGTGTTTGTGGAGGCGTATTATGCAAAATTTACAATTGTGTAGAAGACGAAAAAAACAACAGCCTGTTAATGCTTCAGACGAAACTCGGGACGCAACGAGTGTGCGGGTTAAATTTGTAAATGCTACTTTGGTGTATGTCGCAGAAAAGTTTTGCGTTTACAAAATCTCATATATACGCCCATTATCTTTTCCAACTGTCTTCAATTTTTACTTGTGATAAAAATAAAAAGTTATCCACGCCATAACATAAGAATACAAAAGAAAAACCTAAATCCTTCGTCGCGATCGCATCGTATCGCACCGCATCGCATCGCATCGTATCGCATCGCATCGCACCGCACCGCATCGTATTTCATCGCATCGCATCGCATCTCGTCTTGTTTTCGTTTACGTTTACGTTTTTGTTGCTCTCTTAAAATAAATTTGACCGTGAAATTTTAATATAATAATATTTGAAATTGCAATAAATAATATCACTAAAATAGTCGTAAGCAAAAAGTATAAATTGTAGTCAAAGGCCTTCCTAATATTGTAATAATCTGTAATAATCAGTAATAATCAGTAATAATTGTTGAGATATATAAGTTTTGAGAATATATCTAAATTGAATTGGCTCGCGCGTGAGTGTGTGTTATGCAAAATTTACGGCGCCCAACGGTCACTTTTTGGCCGTACGTAAAAAGCTGTCGTGCCGCCGTAATATCTATTATAGATGGTGTTTGTAGCAGTTCTCACTATTATTATCGTTATCGTCACCATAACTGGATGTGACATTACTTAGTGCGCGATTATTCACTATTAATAGGAATACTGACTGGTCTGGTACACTCTGCTAACCAATATAATCAAAAACCAACTAGCTAAGCATCTCTGCTGACGACAACTCTGCAACCAAAATAAGTAACCCAATCAACAGAGATCATGCAGATGATGTTGCTCTGATGATCAAATTCAATTAAATTTAATTTATTTTACATATAAAGCAACTATCTACAGTCTAACACAAAATAGTGAATAGAAAAAAATCACTTCAACTACGTTTCATGTGAAAATATATTTCTTTTGTTTTCGGTTTTCCTTTTTTACTCTACTATCAAAAATCTACTATCTACTATCTGCTATCCGCTATCCGCACACGTCGCAATGAATAGTTGACTTCAGCAAGTGCAGTTCATTGTAGATACTCGTGTCTATAATTGTTAAATTTAAGCTCACATTTATATCTCATAAATAAACAAATCATAAAGTCAAATTTTGTGTAATTGAAAACGAATTAACAAGTAGTGTACATGCGCAGGAATAGTTCGATAGATGTGTAATTGTTAAATCAAAATCCCTGAAAATATAAAATATTATTCCTAATAATAATACTTAATAATAATTTCAATGATTTTATTTTGTTGTGTTTACTAGAGTGCTGCAAAAAGAAGATTTTGTAAAAGTATATAAGTTGAAACTTAAAACTGATCTTACTTTTTTGTACTGTTGATTATTTGCTTAAGATCTTAATTATTTCGAGTGTGACATAATTCAAAAAAAAAAAATCGATCGTGGATTATTTCCTAAAAACTTTGCGTACCCTCAAAAATCCTATTATGGCCGAGAATCAAACGGCTACTGAAGATTCCGGCCATCAATCACAACAACATCAGCATCAATATCAAGTTCAACAACAACAGCAGCAACAGCAACAACAACAGCAACAACAACAACAACAACAGCAACAACAGCAACAGCATCAGCATCAATATCTAATTCAACAATATCAACAAAATCAACAAAATCAACAACAACAATTAGCCCAACAAGTTTCAGCAACAATAACACCTGCCCTTACATCGCCCACCACATCTGCCTCATCACCAGAAGAACAGAATATTATATTAACCGGCACAAATCATATAGCGCAACTCCATAACTTGCAAAACCAAGATTTGCACATCCGTAACCAGATGCAAGATAATAAACAAGCACGTAGCATGATCGATCGCCAAATATCAGCAAAATTTAAGGCGACACCCACGGCGACTCAACGTCGCAATACTATACAGACTCCCACACGTGCTACAAATATAGCTATGAAGAAGGCTTCATTAACAAAAATTTTATCAATGAATAATGCTGGTAGCGCTAGCGGTAATGTTAGTCCAGCTGTCGGTGTGGACGGTGGTAAACATCATCATCATCACCACCATCACCATCAACATCATCATCAACATCAGCATCAGCAGCAACACCCGCATCATACCGCCACTAACAATCATCAATCGTCTTCATTGTCGTCGGGTGTCGTTCAACGCACTACAAGCGAAGTATTACGTCTAAACACTCCGCCTGGTGGGAATGGGTTACAACACGGTGACTCTACCACTTCGAACCTCTCGCATGCTTCTAGCAATAGCAGCATGCACTCGCATTTGATGAATCACAGTTCGAGTACAAGTACTTCGATAGTACCTCGCTCTACAACAACTACAGCATCTACATCAAAAGCTACGTCACCTAATAATAATGGTAGCAGTAATTCGCTAGTTCGTAGTCATCCCAGTCAAATATATAGCCATCAAAATAGTCAGCAACATGCTGTGTATTCATATAGAAAACCAAAGACAACCTCATCGTTCCAGATAACATCAGTTACTATAGGACAGAAATTTAATTCTGATACTGGAGAAGAGTCAGCCGACGATCTCGACGAATCTCATACAGACGATAATAGTCGTGTAACTGATGTTGAAAATGAAGCACCATCAATGTCTGAAGATACAATATCTAAAGAAGAGGTTTATTATCCAAACAACGCACTTACCACTACAGCCCCAGTCATACCAACTAACTCTCAATATGGACTTGTAGTTGTAGATCCTATTGGGCCTACTCTAGGACAGTCAATACAGAATGTGCAAGTAAATGTGGCGGATAATATAATAAATGTGGTAAGTGCAGCCGTCAATACAGGTGATAACAAAAAGAAAGAGGATGTCAAAGAGACATCACATCGAAGTGAACGTTTTAAAGTAGTTAAAATCGAGTCGACTGAACCATTTCGCCGAGGGCGTTGGATGTGTATGGACTATCTCGATCACTCAAATGTGGGCACAGCCGGTAAGGAGGGCGGCAGTGGCAACAATAATGAAAAGACTGTTTCCTCCGCGATGGGCAGCATCGTCAATAGTGAACCTTCTAAAACGAAAAGTATGATAATTGGTGCAGTAGGTGCAACGTTGCTTGAAAATCATTTAGATGCAAGTAATTTAACAAGTAACCAAATAGGTGCGGACGGAAATTGGAACTTTCCAGATAACTCACCAAACCAGAAACTGCAACACCACCAACAACAGATTAAGCAACAGGTTAGCCCAATGCCGACTGGCATCGCTACAGCTCCTGCAACTGTTGTGCATGGTATACAGCATTTCGTGGGGGCAGGTAGTAATGATCGAATTCAACAATTACCGCAGCAACACTTAGGTCAAACACATCTACCCCAGCAAATATATAGTGATAACTTAAACGCAAACGTTGGCCAAGATGTTAGCCACGGACATGGACAAACTTTACCACTGGATTATGCTACCGCTGCTGCGCAGCAGTTGCAACAATCATTAAAAGAGCTAAAGAAACAAGAAGAGGCGATTGCAGCGTGCGAAGAGGCTGGAAAGCGATATGTGCCAGGAGAATCGCAAACAGTTCTCAAATATCCTATACCAATTGCACAACCACAAGCAATGGCACCACAGCAGCAACAAAAACATCTTGCTCAACACAGTGTTACGTTGCCTGGTAATATACATTTTCAAAATGGCGCTGTTACCATGTCTAGTGATTTGTCAAGTAACAATAACAATTTGTCTTCAACCACGCAGCCAACAATAACAACTCATAACATTACATATGTGGATGCGCAACACATACAACAGCAACAGCAGTTGGCACAGCAACAACAAATGCAACAACAGCAGCACTTGCAACAACAGCAAGCCCTGCAACAGCAACAGCAACAGTTGCAACAGCAGCAACAACAGTTGCAACAGCAACATCTGCAGCAACAACAACAACAGATGCAACAACAGCTGCAGCAGCAACAGTTGCAACAACAACAACAACAACAACCGCATTTGCAGCAACAACAGCCTCATATACAACAGCAGCAACAACAGTCACATTTGCAACAACAACAACCTCTTATGCAACAACAACAACAGCATATACAACAGCAACAAACGCATGTGCAACAGCAGCAACCGCATATGCAACAGCAGCAACCGCTTATGCAGCAACCACAACAACATATACAACAGCAACAAACACACATGCAACAGCAGCAACCACATATGCAGCAGCAGCAACCAATTATGCAACAGCAGCAGCCAATTATGCAGCAGCAGCAGCCGATTATGCAGCAGCAGCAAACACACATGCAACAGCAGCAACCGCATATGCAGCAGCAACAACATATTCAGCAACAACAGCCACAGCCCATGTCACCAGCTCCGCAAAGTGGACCGCAATCGCAAATTCCTCCAACGTTTATACAACAAAGCTCTCCATTTACTACGCAATCCAATTATCAACAACAACAAGCTCCTCATTTACATCCACAAATCCAACAGCAACAACAACATCAGATCCATCAACACCAATTACCTTTGCAACAGCAAACAATTGTTCCACAATTAAAACAACAAATCTCTCAAACCGATGGAGTCACATCACCACCAATTGTCAGTGCTGCCAGTCATATACAACACCAGCAACCACAATTTACACAACAGTTTCAACAGCAGACAGTTCCTGGCCAAACTATGCCCATTGTCACGCAAATGACGAACTACGATATGCAACAAAAACAACAACACTCAGCAACGATAACGGCCCAAACACAAATCCATCAACAGCAAAGTGCACCAGCAACTATAGCCGATCCAAATGCAATTGTAGTTACAATACAAGCGCAGCAGCCAATAATTATCAACAATACAACATTGACTACAACCAACAACAACAATACCGCTAGCAGTAGTTGTAATAATAATAACAATAATAATCTGGTAACGAAGAGTGTGACAAGTGAGCCGATTGTGATGCAACACCAAGCTCAACAACCCCAAATGCATGGTGCCGATAGTATTAGTGCCAATAATGTTAGTAGTTTAATTCATCCAAATAACAAAATGAGTAACATAAGTGCGGTGACAATACCAACCGATGACCTACACCACCAGCAGCAGCAGATACATCATCAGCAGCAATTGTTGCAGCAGCAAGCACAACAACAAATCCAGCAACAACAGTCTCAGCAATTGCAGCAGCCAACAGCGCAACAACAAACACAGCCACAACCGCAACAGCAGCAACAACAGCCACAATCACAACCAATAATAGCAGAATCAGAGACTGAAAGGTAAGTTCCCTATTTCCCTAAAACATTTATAGATCTTTCTTCTTCATATCAGTTCAGTGAATTAAGTGAATTAATTAGAAATTTGGATTAAGTACAACAGTTTGAGATTGAGTATTTAGTGTCTTAATTCTTATTTCTAGTTAGATCTATAACATTTGTTGCTGATATATACCTACCCACCGCGTGGGTTCACAATGCATCAGAAATATTCTGACTCAATACACGATTTATACTTTTTTAAAACATTGGGCTCCATAATATTCAGGGTATTAGTATAAATCTTTTGCAAATATTTTTTTGTGGTGTTCGAAATGTGGTACGCGGGGAGTGGTTCATAATTTAAATATGATTTTTGGTTTTTTAGTCAAAAAATCGGTTACAAGACTTATAGTTGATAAGATGGCTAGCAGCGATATGGATGTGATGAACTAATAATTTTGAAACCCTGATACAGAATAATTCATTAATGATATGTCTCTGTGTAAAAAATTCTTGACAACGTATATTTCGCCCCAAATTGTAAAAAATAAAATAAAAAATAGTCTAAAACAAATTAATCCTGATAAACAATCAGCTTTGGTCTCACACTTTCTTGATGAAAATCATTATCCAGATTTTGCTTCGGTGAAGGTCATCGATACGGAGCCTTCCTTGTCTCGACATCTTACCTTAGAGTCCTTACATATTATAACTAGACCCACATACAATTTGCGGCGAGATATAGAAAATATTTCTGTTGTCTATTGTGCATTGCTAGATCTTGATTTTGATTCTTCTTCTTGAGTTAGTGCTATTACGTAATTTTACTCTATAATAGCTGGGGGCTTATCTCTACCCCACACTAGGCTAGAAAAATCATTCTAAAGATAAACTGATTTTATATTCTTAGTCTTCTTCTTCTTCTTCTTGAGTTAGTACTATTACGCACTTTTACTCTATAATGGCTGGGGGCTTATCTCTACCCCACACTAGGCTTTAACTAGGCTTCGTTGTAATTATTTAAAACATTTGTCAAAAAAATTTTTTCATATACAAATTTTATTCTATTCAGTTGTCTTTAAATTTCCCTGATGATGGTTTTAAACAACCGAAACGTCAGAAATATATATTAAATAAATAAAACAATAAAAAAATTTTTATTAAAAAACCAAATCAAAATAATCTGACTAATAGCCCAACACTCATCTATTTTAAAGCTTGTAAAATACTTATATCATTTAATATAAGTATTTTTTTTTTTGATATACTTCGATTGTTCGAAATTGACCCTAATAAATTTAAACTTTGACAACGCATATAATTGCCAATAGATGGTCTCATTACAAATACCCATTTTTATAAACTCTTGACACTGTACTTATTAATCCAAATAATGCAAATGGATCACCCTCCCTTACGATTTTGTTTTTTTTTGTCTTAAACCAAGGAATCACTCCTCTAAGTTAAAGTATCTTGTCTTCATTAGTAGTATTAGGTAGTTATAGGTATTAGGTAGTATTAGATCAATAGCTGCACTAAATTACAGGAAATTAAGTACCACATTTCTGCATTAACATTTAAGTTTATATTTGAAGAGGTGAGAAAACTAAATATATACCAAAAAAAAATCGCACTTTTGATATTTCACAGCAAATATTTAGATTTTTAAGTGATTTTGTCGAAACTTGTTGCCATTGCAAAAAAAAAAAAAAAAATTATCTGCGTTTAAGTGTGTATTTATGGATATTAAATATCTAGCTGAAATCGTGTTCGCATTTCAACCAAGAATTTGAGACACATCAATTTCAGGAAGCATAAATAATTCGACGTTAATGCGTACATAATGAGTCAATTAAAATTTTTATATTGGAGAAGATCAAATATTTGCAGATAAAATAATTATCAGCAAACCTTAAATTTTATATTTAATTTATAAAAAAGTAAAATATTGGTTTATTTACCAATACCTAATGAATCCCAAACAAACATTAACATTTGCGTATCTAAAAATTCTAAATTTGTTTGCAATAATGAAGCTTATAATGATAATTAATACTGAAATCGGCGTTTTAGCCATAAACGATCAATTTCTATCTGTTAGATACTTTCAACTAGCATCTATAAGAAAGCTTTTCTTTAGTATGGTTCAGCCACACTAACTAACAAAACGAGTTAAGTTAGCTTAATTCAATGCAATGTGAAAGATAGTTAGTTGGTTGTAGGTTTCCGTTTAAAGCTAAGATTTTCCCGATATAAGCCAAAGGCTAAGAACAACCTCTACTGACACTAACACTGAACGGTACCGGTTTGGTACCGTTCGGTTAGAGACCTCAGTTTGTTTGTTGAATGGATTATGGTGGACTAGGAGGTTTGTTCGGCTTTTTCCCTCCTCATCTTACAAACAAATAAGCCGACAAACCCCACCTTGTATATATTTGAATTCATAAATGTTTCTATGTATTTTTAGTGGGTTATGTATGTATGTATGTAAGCATGCATGTGTGTATGAAGAACGCAGTTTTAGCTGAAATTACTCATAAAGTATAAAGTGGCTTAAGTGTGTGGCTTGTACTTTTTTAAGTACAAACACGCGCAATTGTTACTTTTCTTTTCGCGCAAAAAAAACAAAAACAAATTGTAAAGAAATGAAAATAAATATAAAAAAATTTACGAAATGTTTAAAATATAATAAAAAGTAAAGATGTCGTAAAAAATACATTTAAGCTAACAAAGTAACAAAGTAAAACTGAATTTGTGAAATTCGCAAATTTGCAACTTTGAAAAGAAAGTCAAACAAGCCGACAGACAGAGCAGAGCAATGGTCAGACAGACGAGTTTATGGACGGATCAACATATAGTTAAAAATGCCATAGATCGTTTTACAATGGACGATAAAAAAAAAACGGTTTTTAGTTATCACTGTTATGAGCATCAGCCAGCGGAGCAGAGTCGTCTCATTTTTCCATAACAGATTATGAGTGGTTTGCTTAGGTAAAAATCAAATACTCAGCTGAGTACTCAAATACTTATTCACGAACTTGTCGTGAATGCACACTCATATTAGTGTAGTTTAATTAAATTATATCAAATTTAACTAAATTTTCAAAACGTCAAAAGTCAATTGTTCAGTAAGGAATTAGCATATTCAATTGATGACACCATATTTCAGCCAGTTGGCCAGTTAGCCAGTCAGTTAGTCAGTTAGTTAGTTTGTACTAAAGACAATTCATTCTGTATGAATATTGTGTTTCGGTTTCACAATTAAAAACAATATATTAAAGATATTTATTATTGTGTTAAAAAAGCATTAATGATATTCGTAAGCTTTTATTGAAAGGCACAGTTAGTTTCTAATTACTAGAGCAAAATTATTTAGAGAGAAATTAGATATAACAGATCAGCGATAGCATATATAGTTTTCACGTGAAAACTAGAATGCGATGCGTCTTCAATGAATTGATCAAATTTTCAACCATTGATCAACCTCGATCAAGTGACAAGTGATCAACCTCGATCAAGAGACAAGTGACTCGACTTGTCTCTTCAGTACACTTCATTTTTTCATGTATTTTGGACAATTAAAAATAGTATCATTCCCGTGATCTGCACCCGTATTTCCGTATATTCAAGTTAGATTTTTAGTTATTTAAATTCTGTTTAAATATTTTTGAAAAGATCCATGTCCAAAGAAAAGCTGCGTAATGTAGTACTTGACATGGTCGAATTTTCTTTTGCACCCTGTTTCTTGTCTCATTTCAACACTTTATTTTCTCTCTTTCTTCTTTCTATTTGCTGAGTATAATAAACGTTTAATTTTAGGTTGCAGACGTTCCATTGTTTGTAGGTCAATTGGAGTTTCACCTGCTATTAGAAACACTGCTTTCGTAGAGACAGCGCGATACGCTGATGTAACACACAGCTGTCGTTCTATAAACTGTTTCTTTCGTATTTGGGTATCTAGATACTTTTCAACAATATATTATGATCTTAAGAGATTCAGATATTTTTGCAATTTAATTTTAAAATCGTATATCTTTTATCCTTTGTTTGTTTTGGAGTATCAGCATTCTAACTTAATGTTTATGTTGAAGCTATTTGAGCCAGTACACTTGAGCACTTTTACTCTTGCTTAACTCGTGGTATTTTCAAAATCCCTCTTTACGCCTTGAATGGATTATTGTTCATCACTTCATCAGACTAAGCAACAATTGACCTCAGATCTGCATACCTCCCCGAGGAGCCTGTAACCATTCTGAGATTTTAAAACGCGGTGTTGGTAAGTCTGTCAGTTTTTGCAAATAATTTCAGGCCTCTATCCTTTATATATTTTTTGATGGGATCAATCTTGATGTCCCTGAGAATGTCATTCGTCCTAATGTACCATGGTACTTTGAAAAGTCTTTTCAGAGCCTGACTTTGTGCAATTTCTAGCTAGCGAATAGTAGTGTTTGAAACTTTGCTAAACGCTACACAACCATATAGAAGTGACGGACGAATTATTTGGTTATTTATCAGTTTCCTGTTTTTAGCATTGAGATTTTCATTTCTGAATAGCGGTTGGAGGTGATGAAGAATTTTGGCACAGCTAATTCTTTTCAGTTAAACATTTTTAATGCCGAGATACTTAACGCTATTCTCCCAGTTTATTACCATATCACCCACTCTCACTCTCGACGGATTCCGTCTTAATGAAATCAATTTTAATTAGTAAACAATTTAGATAGATTATAGATACGTTTTCCATTATTCCTTCAAAAGTTTAATACTCATTAGTAGTGAATTGTATATATATAACGTAATAACATGAATATTATTGCTAAAGAATTTTTGAAATTCCAAAAATACTTTTCATTTTACTTTTGATTAAATATGACTCAAATTGACATAATGTTCATTGAATATACGTACATATATACATACGTACATACATGCGCACATGTATACGTTTTTGCGTATTTAAAAAACTACGTATTTGCATTATTATGGGAGTTTGTTTTTATTGTTGAAATATTGCAATTAAA